AAATACTTTTGGTAAAAGTTAAATTTCTGACACAAAATCTACTTAAGTATTAAAAGTAAAAGTACCGAGTAAAAATGAGCAGTTAGATTTTCCAAAATGACATTTATTGGGAGGTGACTTCTCCAAAAAAAATTTTTCTAACGGCGTGCAGCTGTGATTGGTTGTGTACAAGTTAATAGTGTGTCAGAATGGTATATATTTATACTTCTCATCCAACCACAATTAAATTCACTCTATCCAGGAGACACTATTTATAAGGATAGTATTTTTAAAGTAACAACTCAGAATAAATTAGGAGTAACGACTTTGTACTTCTTACCTTTTTTAAAAAATGTACTGAGTAGAAAGTACAGATAGTTGTGTAAAAATRTAATGAGTAGAAGTAAAAAGTACGCTGAAAAATAATTACTCAAGTAAAGTGCAGATACCCAAAAATTCTACTTAGTAACAAAGTATTTGTACTTAGTTACTTTACAACTCTGGATTTCTTTGCCTCAGTTTGATCAGAACTCTTTGATCAAACCCATCATTGAAACCATTATAATGCTGCCATCTAGTGGACAAACCCATTACTTGTGTTTGTGTCAAAAAAGAGGGAAACTCCTCCCAAAACGTGCAGTTTAATAAATAAAGGACATTTCATTGCAGACGCAGACATGCATGCAAAATAATCTCATTCAGAAACATTAAAATGCGTGGACATTTTTCCACATTAAAATAACTTTTTTCATTTTTATTTTAGGACTTTCTTGTTACATGTTGACAAACAGATTTATCTCATATATAAGTTATACATTGCACAATATGCATTAGCTATATAAAAAGGTGAAGCTTAACAAACATGCATGAATTGTAAAGTGCTTAGCAAAACGTGATTAGCAGCAAAACAAATAACGGTGTTAGTTTGATGTCACAGTACGTTACATAAAAACAGGAAAAACAGGCTTGTTGACAATTTTTTTATTTAGTTTCATTTATGGCCCACATACAAAATAAATTAATTCACTGAAGTGTCTGCACTTCTGCCCATTTGATCATTAGCTAAACTGTTAGAATAAAAATGACAAATTACCAGTTTGAAAATATTTTATTGTCGAAACAATGGTGCACGACTTCAAGGCAAGCAGCTCAGCATACAGGCATTAACATWAAACGATCTTAACATAAAGTACACAAGAAGCCAAACAAATGAAAAATGCACATTTCTAAAAAGTCTCCTTTAAAAAAAAGAACTGCTTTTTGTCATTCCTTGCTCCAGACGTGATTTAATGCAGAACTATTTTTGTGTGCGAGCCGAACATTTCTTTCTCCCAGCAGCGGTATTTCAACCATGGGCTCAAACTCATTTACCAAACCAGTCTGATCTCCTGGTGCTGGATTTTCTGTGTGAACAGAGCATTTATGACAGCAGCTGATATTCATTCAAGAATCGTGTCACTTTTTTTAAAATCAACTGCGATGACGATTTAAACCTCCTGTATGTTTCAGTCTGTCCGGTTTACACAGTGCCAGCAGGCCTGGGCAGGAAAAAGATGGCCTTTTGACCCTGGTGGGTGTCCGGTCCCTTTTTAGGCTGGCCGTTCCTTTTTAAAGCAACAAACCAGCTGTATTTCTGCGAGCGGTACGAGTTGTAGTTGTTSTCCTCGTACTTCTCCAGGAAGTGACACTCATCGTTCATTGCTTGCTGAGAACCAGAAAGAAGCGTAACAAGAAAAARAAAAARAAACAGTTGAGRGAAATCCTCGTGCAGCTGAAWATAAAATAGTCAGACAACAAAATGTAACAACTCACTGATCCATAAAGGCATCCGTTTTTGTTCATAGCCAGGAACCGTCCCGTGGTCTCGCCTTTGATGACCACCACTCCCACGCTTACAGCAGTCAGCCTCAGGATCTCTGCAACAGGCAGCACCACACAGCTGTGTGACTTTTTGTTGCCTTTCTAAGGTTAAACTGGGAAACAAACCTGGGAAAAACTTCCCCAGAATAGGTGTATAATAATAATAATAAATATAAACATACAATATATAATAATATTTGAGGTCTCTCTCTTGTAAGAGATATTTTGATCTCAATGAACCTGGTTAAATAAAGGTTATAAAACTGTCATATTCCAGAGAAAATGGCTTTTTAATTACAAACTGAAGTGTTGGATTTAAAACATTCACAAGAGGTCATTTTGAATGGGAACTCTTTTACTGTCTTATACAGTGTATAAGCCCATATTTTTGTTTGTCCATTTTTAATGATTCTGAGACGTCTCAGTGCTTTTTTTATTATTTTTTTTATTTTGGTAAATTTTAACAACCATAAATTTCAAAAGTGCAAGGACAACACCAACTCTGTAAAAGTTGGAATATCAATATCTGTAAAACAGAATTTAATGGCGGCACCATGAGCATAGTTGTGAGTGTGTGTGTGGGATGGGGGGGGGGGGGTATGAACCCCCACAATAATTTGATCCAGTCAGTATAACCCCACCAAAAAATATACATCATTGGCTCTACCACAATAGAAATGAACTGGTTAAGTACACAACTGCAACGTTGTTGTTATCTTTAGGTAACTTTGACCTGATCTAAAAATGCATGATGTCATATATATATATA